TCCTGAAAGAAACAGCAGAGGGAGACAACTAAGTAGAAATCTAAAGGACACACAGAAGCTGGTTACGAGAAAGTGAAGAAAAAAGAGCAGCTACTAGGACAGCATAAGCATGGCTAGGAGGGGGGAGAGCAAATGTGTTCATGGAACGAGGAGTTCAGAAACTGTGACACTAGCGAGCTGGGGGGCGGGGGGACAAGGTGTGAGCCTTGAGGAGTAAGCAGCCGTCAGATCGTGGAGGCTGCATATGCAGACTATCACCAGTTCACAATGATAGAGTCCATCCTCCTCATTCACTGGCTTCTGTATTTGGGAAAATGAAATTATGAATTCAGCCTTGCAAATATTAAGTGTGAGGTATCTATGGAACAACTAAGCATAGACAACCCATAGTTGTCAAAATCACTATTATTAATCCTGAATTTTACCACAAATACATGACTAAATGATTAGATTATGGCGTAAGAAGGACAGAATTAAGAGACAACATCCTGCAACTATGGACTGAACAGTTTTCCACTGGGAGGCACAATGGAAACAGTATCTCCAAGCCTCTGTCTCCGCATCTGTAAAACAGAAACGCCATCAGCTACCTTGCAGGGTTACCAGAGGAAATTCTAACCTTTTTACTGGAGAAAGCTCCAGCTTATAAACATCACGGTTATCAAGGGCTGGAAGGCTTACTGGGTGGTCAAGAGATGGGACTAGCAGTTTTGTTAGATCAGAAAAAATGTCATGATCATTAATCCAAATATTTATGAGTAGGTGCCTTGTGCCAAACATTAAATGCTTTACCTACATGAGCTCATTGAATCTTTGCAACAATCCTGAGGAGACACTTATCACCTTCATTTTAGGGATGAGGAAACTGAGGCAGGTCATAGTAAATAAGCAGTACAAACACAGGTGCCTCTTATACTACTGAGTAAAAGTGATCATTCATTTCTAGAGATAATACATGGATACTAGGAGAAAAGAAGGAAGGCTGGAATAAGTGAGGAAGGAACGAAGACTACACAGTTATAAACAGCGGAAGGAATGCTACAGAAATCTGACCACAAAAACACCCCTTAGTGATGGAACCTCCCTGAGCGGAAGAAAAATCTGTCTCAACACCAAGGTTTCCTCATACCCAATCTTTCTTAAGATTCTATGCCCCTGCTCTTTTACTTTCCAGAGAGCATTTTTTTTTTTGATCATCTCTATCCTCCTGGTCCCTCAACCGTATCAGCGGAGTCAGGGGTCAGAGTAAAGGCTCTAGAGCAAACTTCAATAATGGTTGTGTCATTTACCAACTTGTTTATCAGCTTATGCATTGGGGGAGCAAGATAAAACCTCTCTGTGTCTCAGTTTCTTATAAGTAAAATGAGGATAATAATTACCCTGTCTCACAGGGTTGTTGTCAGAATTAAAGTGATACACAGGGAGCTTAGAAGAGTACCTAAGCTAATATTATTGCTATTATTACCTAATTCCTCTAACAGTATAGTACACCCAAAATTTATGGTGCTACAAGTTTATTTGGAAGTTGGTTATCTGGAAAATTGAATGCTTTCCTGCTG